TCCGAATTATTTCCCCCATAAGATGAACCTCATAATTAGATTTGGGATCTGGGAAGCGAAGGGCAGGTGAGATAAGAAACGAGGTAGTTTCTAGCCACGGGTCATTAAGCTCAGACTTCTGGAAAAATCAACCACCCCGAGGTTTTTCAGGGTTTCTTTGGCTCAAGCCTTAGAGGACTAAAGTTGATGTAATCTTTCCACTGTGGATGCAAAGTCGAACCATTCACAACCGTAGCTAGATCATTCTATTAATCTTTTACAGAGACTAAGTAAACTCAGCATGGTAAAATAAGCAGGTCTCTCGGTTTCTCTCTCTCTCTCTCTCTCTCTCTCTCTCTCTCTCTCTCTCTCTCTCTCTCTCTCTCTCTCTCTCTCTCTCTCCCTCTCTTGGTTTTTGGAGAAAAGGTTCCGAGACAGGTAGCTTTGGAGCTTTTCCTGGAACTCGATCTGTAAACCAGGCTAGCCTCACTCACAGAGATCTGCCTGCCTCCAATTTTCAACCTTTAAGATTTTTAGTGGGGCGGTGGTGGCGGCACACACCTTTAATCCCTGCACTCAGGAGGCAGAGGCAGGCGGATTTCTCTGAGTTTGAGGCAAGCCTGGTCTACAGAGTGAGTTCCAGGACAGCCAGAGCTGTTACAGAAGCCCTGTCTCAGGGAGTTGGGGTGGGGATTCTTTATTTTGATCCTGCTAGGCATGGTGGTGTAGAATCCTAGTACTTGGGAGGCTGAGGAGGGAAGATGGACAGCTGAAGCCTGGGCTCCACAGGGAGACTTCATCTCAGAAACAAGGGGCTGGAGGTGTAGCTCTGCTGGTAGACTGTTTGCCTAGCATGCTGGAGTTCAATTCACAGCATCATGTGAACCAGGCATGGTGGCACGTGCCTGTAATCTCAGCAATCAGGAGCCGAATCATTGTTGGCTACATAGTGAGTTGAGGCCAGCCGGTGAGACAAGAGGCACTGTCACTAATAAATAAGCAAACAAACAAATGTATGCCCTTGACGCTAAGCACAGTTCATATTAGAGACGCTGCATCTATGCCAAGGCAGGCAGCTTGACAAGTGCTGGGACAACTGGATAGCTCTATGCAAAAGACTGAAGGGAAATCTTTACCACAAACTGTATTAAAAAATGAATCACAGACGTACATGTAATATCTATGACTTAATCCGGCAAAGATTTCCTGGAAATGACAAAATTTACACAACTGAAGGAAAAGCTGGGGTCTGGAGAGACGGACCAGTGGCTGTCAGCACTGGCTGCTCTTGCAGAGGGCCCGGGTCCTGTCCCCAGCACCCACATGATGGTTCACACCACCTGTCACCACTTCCAAGGGCTCTGACACCTCCTTCTGACCGATGTAGGCACCAGACACCCATATGGTGCACACACATACACTCAAATGCATAAAATAAAAAGAAATACACCTATAAGGATAGAAAAGGAAAAACTGGATTTCATCACAATAAGCTGTGCACGTCAAAGAACACTATTAAGAAAAGTAAAAAGAGAAATGAACTCATAGCATGGGAGAAAAGTTTTCCAAGTGTGGATCTCTTGAGGAATTTATAGCAGGTTATAGAGAGAACTCGTGACGAAAAGCAAACCAGGTCTGGGGAAATAGTGCAGTCAGTAAAATGCTTGCTTTGCAAACACTCAGACACAGTCTCTCTGTGTGCGTCCTAGAACTCACTCTGTAGACCAGGCTGACCACGAACTCACAGAGATCCCCCTGCCTCTGCTGGTATTAAAGGCATGCTCCACCACTCCCAGTTACAAGGGGAAAAAAAAGTCTACTGTGGTAATGCTTGCTTGTAATCCCAGAGCTGGGAAGGCAGAGATTGGAGGATTCCTGGGGATCAGTGGCCATCAGGCTAGCCTGTTGTGCAAGCTCCAGGCCAAAGAGAGACCCTGTCTCAAAATAAGGTGTACATTGGAAGTTGTACAAACACACATAGCATGTTTGCCCTCCACAACATGCATGTCTACCTATGCACACTCATATATACACACACACACAAATTAACCTTTAAATTGGCAAAGGATTTTTCATCCACTAACTGATGGAAGCAGATTCAGAGATCCATAACTAATCAACCTCTCGGAGTCCAGTCAAAGAGAGGGAGAAGCAATAATACGAGCAAAGGGGTCAAGACCGTGATGGAGAAACCCACAGAAACAGCTGACCCGAGCTCGTGAGAGCACAGCATCCCCAGACTGGCGGCAGCAGAACCTGCAGAGGACTGAACTAGACCCCCTGAATGCAGTTGACAGTGGGTGACTTGGGCAGTTTGTGGGGCCACTGGCAGTGGGACTAGGATAACTCCCTAGTGCATGAACTGGCTTTTTGGAGCCCATTTCCTATAGAGAGATACCTTTCTCAACCAGTCACAGCAGGGATAGCTGTGACCAGGCCTCAGCATGGTGATGGGACAGACTTTGTTGACTCCTCCTGGGAGACCATAACCTCTCTGAGGAACGGATGGGGGCGTGGAGTGAGGGTGAGGTGGAGGAAGCTGTTTGAGGGGAGGGAGGGAGAACTGGGATAGACATATATAATTAAAAATAAAATAAAATTTTAAAAAATTGGCAAAGGATTTAAATAGACATTTTTTTCAAAGCACACACACAACAAAAAGACACAGGAAGATTGCTCAGGGGTTTTGGCCAGCTTGGAAAAGCAAACCAAACCCATACTGGTGAATTGCTTCCCACTCAACAGGATGACTAGAATCACAGTGCATCCTGGTAAGAAACACAAGCCTCGTATCCTTGATGGGATTGAAAGCAGTCCTTCTGCTTAGGAAATAGTGTACCGAAATCTCAAGACATTAAACTGGTCATCTTATGTTATTTCATTTTCTTTAGCTACATGCCCAAAAGAATAAACAAAACAAACTAACAAACAAAAACATGTCCTTTGCAGAAGTTTATCCATGAAGGTTCACGGTAGTATTAATCACAATAGCCTGAAGCGATTCAAATGTCTGCCAACTGGTGAAAGCATAAACCAAATCATGTACCCATCGATGGGATTTGACTACAGAAATAATAAAATACTCATATACTCTACAGAATGTGTGTGTCTTGTTATCTGTTGGTATGTGTATGTGTGAGTATACAGTATGCATGTACGTGCACATACACATGCCCATGGGAACACATGTAGAAGCCAGAGGTTGATTTCAGATGTCTTCCTCTACTGCTGTACACCCTGTGTTTCTGAGACAGGGCCTGTCATTGGACCTGGGGCTCCTCAGCGGGCCAGTAAGCTTGGTGAGCCACTTGTCTCCACTCCCTAGTGCCGGGTCCCAGGTGCGTGCCACCTCACCCAGCTTTTTACGTGGGAGCTGGGGATCCGAACTCAGATCCCCACGCCTGCGCTGAAAGCACTTTATGGACTGCAGGATGATTCCTGGATGCATGACGCAGCCTTCGCAGGCGGTGCGGAACCCCATTCACACGCAATGTGCAGAACAGGCAAATCCACAAGGACAGAAAGTAGGTTAATGATCCCCCCGGGCAGACAATGGAAGAATGGGAGTGACTGCTAGAAGGTACAATGCTCCTTAATGAAGTGAAGTTCTAATTAGCTAATGGGGACAATTTGTCCAAACCTATAATCATATACGAGCCCCTAAAGTGTACACCTAATAAAAGGTCAACTTTACAAATGAGTCAGATCTCAGTAAAACTGGGGACCCGTGCCTGGTACTGTTAACCTGGTCACAACATCATGGCCAGGGAGGACATAACCCTCCCACCCCCGGGGGGGGGGGCACTACTGTTACTTTGTCAAATGGACAGACATGGTATATGCCCATAAATTGGCGTTGCCCTCAGCCTGGGTCTGGGAGCCTTCTATTTGGAGTGAGTGACGACTAATGCAGAGACTCACAACTGGTTAAGGTGCCGTGGCTAAGTCACTAGTTGAATGCTTTGCCCTACATGGGACATCTGTGTCACCCCTTCTAAGGCTCAGGGAATAGCAGGGAGGGGCAGGAACAAAGAGCTGGAGGATGGGGAGGAGAGCTGTGAAATGCTGTCTCCTTGGTGACATGACTGTTGGACCCAAAAACTCTCAGCAGGGGTGGCTAATTGCTTGAGACCTGCCCAAGACCCCACCCCTCCCTAAAGAGCCATGGGTAGTTAAGATTTTCTGGGGAGGGGAGTCCTATTCCTCAGTGGTATAGTCCCTGGTAAGCTGTCCTTGCTCAAGCAAATAACCCCTTACCCATGCTCGCACAGGCACCCCTTATGAAGGGCATGCACCACCAAGCCCTCATCCTTTAAAATTGATTCTAAGGACTCCAAGAGTAAACTGATCCAGAGAGATTCTTTCCTGGAACTCGCTCTGTAGCCCAGGCTGCCCTTGAACTCAGATCCGCCTGCCTCTGCCTCCCTAGAGCTGGGATCAAAGGCATGCGCCACTACTACTACCCAGCCAGAGAGTTTCATTTAGCCTTAAGGATGTTTGTTAAAATGTTGCTCAAAATCAGGTGGTGCTCGCCTTTAATCCCAACACTTGGGTGGTAGGGGCAGGCAGATCTCTGTGAGTTCGAGGCCAGCCTGGTCTACAAAGCCAGTTCCAGGACAGCCTCCAAAATAATACAGAGAAACCCTGTCTTGAAAAAAACAAAACAAAACAAAAAAAAAAAAAACAAACAAAAAAAACAAAAAACCCCAAAATTAAAAAAAAGGATAAAAGAATAAAAGTTTAAGAATACACACAGCAGGTTGGGAAGATGGCTCAGTGGTTAAGAGCACTTGCTGTTCTTGCAAAGGACCAGAATTCAGTTCCCAACACCCACACTGGATGGCTTACAACTGCCTGTAACTTCAGGTCCAGAGCTGACGCCTCTGACTTCTGAGGATACCTACACTCATGCACAAACCCCTTCCATACACGAGTGAATGCACATGATTAAAGATAAAATAATCTTGTAAAATGGGACTAACCATATGAGAAAAGGTACTCAGTGTCAGCAAGAAATGACATGTGCTCACTTTTGCATACATTATACTAAAATTAGAATGGTATAGAGATTAGCATGGCCCCTTCGTAAAGATGACAATGCAAATTCGTGAATTGTTCCATGTTGGAAAGAAGGAAAGGAGGGAGGAAGGGAGGGAGGGAGGAAGGAAGGAAGGAAGGAAGGAAGGAAGGAAAGAAGGGAGGGAAGGAGGGAGGGAGGGAGGGAGGGAGGGAGGAAGGAAGGAAGGAAGGAAGGAAGGAAGGAAGGAAGGAAGGAAGGAAGGAAGGAAGGAAGGAAGGCAGGCAGGCAGGTCAGTCAGCGTTGTCTACAAAGCCAGTTCCAGGACAGCCAAGGCTGCTACACAGAGAAACCCTGTCTCAAAAAACAAAAATAAAAATAAAAATAAACAATCCCCCCCAAAAAAGAATGCTAACCCACGAACTATTCCTCACATTTTAAGACATCTGGCATCCCTAACCTGCATGGGGCACTAGCCAAGCAGTGAAATCCCTGCACTGTGATAATCACACTTGAAGATGCGGAAGGGCATTCACTGCCTTAGAAGAACACTGTGGGCGGCTATACTTCATCCTTTTAAAGTTTCTCTTTCTCACTGGCCTTTTTCTGATCTTTCTGCAAAGACTTCTGTGACTCCGAAACTGCTCACTCTTTTGAAAAGGAGGCGACAAGATTGGTGATTTAGATCCCAGCCCCCAGTCCACCCAATCTGTGCTGCCTTAGTCAAGTTAGCTTGTGACAGTTAAGTAAATAAAAGGGGACTTAACGTTATTACATGGATGCCATAATTCAGTTGAAAGTCACCAATAACAGGAAGGGTTCAATTAACTGAGATTGTTGCAATCACTTTGATTCTGTTTCAAGTGCTTGTAATAGTTACAAAATTGCAGCATCCTACAATTCACAGGTCAAGTACTCGGCTGTTGCTAGCTTGTAATAAAACCGTAAAAGGAAAGAAACCCCCATAATTTGGTTTCAACATGGGAGTTACCAGGGCACAGCCTTGAGTATTAGGTTGAGCAGCAGCCACTCCCCCCAAGAAGCCCAGTCAAGCAAACTGAATGACAGATGCTGGGAAATGGGGTTTGTTCTCTATTATCTCATATTTATTTATTTAGGTTTTTCAAGACAGGGTTTCTCCGTGTAGCCCTGGCTGTCCTGGAACTCCTTCTGTAGACCAGGCTGGCCTGGAACTCAGAGATCCACCCGCCTCTGCCTCCTGAGTGCTGGGAGTAACGGCTTGCACCATTAATGAAGGGCTATGTGACTTTTTAAAACAGGGGCGGTTAGCTCTGTCCAGCAAATGGGGTTACAGACTGGGACCACAGCTCAGTGGATAAAGAAAGAGCCCATTTCATAAACATAAGACCTGAGTTTGGATCCCCAGCACCCATGAAAAATCTGGGTGTGGTGGAATACGCTTATAATGCCAGTGTTCAGGTGGATCCCAAAGGCTCACCAAATGTCCAGGCTCAGTAAGATTCCACATGCCACTTAAATACAGAAGGAGGAGGGGAATAGAGGAGACATCTCCATGTCAATCCCTGACTTCCACAATGGATGAGCGAGTATACCCACACATGCCCATGCACACATGTATTGAGGATAATTTTATCCACAAGGTTTCCTGTCTTTCTCAAAAAGCTCACTGCAATCTAAAGAGACCCATGGCACCTGGTCAACAGTAGTCATTCCTAGTGATGGGATGACCGGTCCTTTGCATTTCTTCTTTTGCTCTTACATTTTCTGGAAAAGTATGCAACAGAAAACTCGTGGGTTGGAAATCAGAAAAGGAGACGTGGTGGTGGCCCAGGCCCACTCTGCAGAAGCCCCAGCTTGGTCACCTGAGCGTCTATTTGCTTTGCAAGAGAGCTCGCCAACCCCTTCACTCACACAGCAAATATTTGTTGAGCTCTTTATGGCTAGGCCTCGAGAGGTGGCACCAATACTTTGGGCCATTTATTAGGGCTGCAGATACCCTCAGGGCTGGCTGGGCCAACCACTTGGGAAATGAGCTAAGGCAACACTTTCCCAACTTTTGTGCAAGAAAGCTGACTCAGTGGGTTTGGATTCGAGACTGGAGCCAGCAAGCTCCCAGGATCCATACGTACAGGTGTTGCTAAAGGCTTCTCAGAGGGTCCACTCAGGTCCTCAGCCACTCTACAGCACGACACCCCCTGCCCCCCAGCTTTCTTGTGGGTTAGATTTCAATTCCACAAATGCTTCCTTGGGTCCGGAGATGCAACAGAAGGGAGCCCTTCTTAGACAGTGTAAGTCGAGTCTCCTTAGGTAAGAGCAGAGACCTAGAAAAGGGCAGGCATGGGTTTGAATCTCAGCTCCGCCACCACGGGTAAGCGTTACTCCTCCCTCTCTCTGGGGCTCAGTTTCCTCGCGTGTAAAAGGAACTTATTTGCAACCGTCTTCACAAGGGAGCCGTGCAGGAACCACACGAACTCCGAAGCTTCTTCAGGACTTGACAACCCAGGCAGAAGGGGAAGACAATAGACAGTGGCCTCCACCAGTTGTCAACAGAACTCCCGGCGGAAGGCCTGGCTTCCAAGGGAGAGAATGCACAAGCCCTGCCCCCTCTCAGGCACGTGCCCAGCCCCCACCAGGATGTGCTCCGGTACGGTACAGCAGCCCTTAGGTTCTCAAAGAGGCTGAGACTCCCGGAATTTATTCAGGGAAATCTTGATTCATCTCAATCTGACCTCAGGAAGACAATTGCGAAAATGAAAATTTTCTCCCCTTTATAGCTAACATTAGGGAAATTTTCAGAGCTGGGGGTGCGGCTCAGGGCTAGAGCATCGGCCTAGCACGTGAGACTCTGGGTTCCAGCCCAACACTGTGGAGGGGTCAGTTTGAGAAAAGCTTTGTTTTCAGGGACCCGTGCACGTGTAGATCAGGTGAGGGAGGCCCTACATTCCGGGCACCCAAGATCAATGAACTCCGGCTCCCGGGTCAGGCCACCATCCTCGAAAGAAAGCAGCAAGCAGGGAAGCCTCCCGCAACAGACATCCTGAGGGTCACGACCGTCGGTCCCCAAAAGCGCCCAAGGCGAAAGAACCTGGTTGTGAGTTTTACACTTTACAAAGAAGTCGAGGCTGCGCTCAAGAGCCTTCCCGGAGCCCGCGGGAAGAGCGGAGCCAGCTCGGTGGGCGGAGCTGAAGGCGCGCGAGCTTGCCGGGTCCACCTGCCTCCCACGGCCCGGCCCGGCCCGACACTCACGATCTCGGCCACAATCAGGAGCCCCGGCACGGTGCGGAGGAACTCTCGGTCGTAGGCGAAGCTGCTGCTGGTGGTGGAGAAGTTCTCAGCGAAGGAGCTGGCGGTGGTGGTGACCGTGTGCGAGCGCGCGCGCTGCGATTCCTCCATCGTCGCGCCCGGAGCTGGCTCGGGTCCCCGGGGACCCTACCCCCACCCAGCGAGCTCCTTGGGCCCAGGGTCGCCGGCCAGGAATAGGGACTCGCGGGCTGGCGGGTGACGGGCGCACCGGGGTGGCCTCCGGGGTCAGGCCCGCGAGTGTCCCCCACTCGTCGGCGCGCGCGCTCCGGAGCTCCGCGGGGACCCGGCAGCGGGATCGCTGGCAACCGGTGGCTGCGGGAGGCGGGGGAGGGGGGGAAGGGGAGGGGCGTCGACGGGGCGGGCGGGGGGACGGGCACTTGGGGACCTCCTCTCGGGGGCGCCGCCGCGCGGTCACAGCACCTGTCGCCCGCGGACTGTGAGCTCGCAGGGACGCGCAAGGGAACGCTAAGAGTGAGCCTCACCTCCCAGTCGCACCCCTTCCTAGCTCCGGCCGCAACCAGGCTCCGCCCACCCAGGGCCACCGGACTCGGACCTGCTTCCTCCCACCTGGCCGGACTGGCAGCCAGGCCTCTTAAGGAAACCCAGGCCTCCAGGGACGTGGCGGCTCCGGGACTCAGACAGCCAGGCGGATGGGGGAGGAAGGCTGGAATTGTGATCCATCCGGACCTTAGACCCGGGATCGATGAGAAGCCGCTTGGACAGCGGACAGTCCTTACCCCCCTCTGCTGCAGCCGCCACCAAAGCCGGGCGCTGTTTCCTGCCCCTCCTGCCGAGAACAATTTGAGGAACCAACTTAATCGCTGGGCTGAGAGAATGAGACTCTTCCAGGCGCTCTCCACAACTCTGGCACGGACTAGGGGGAGCATGGGGCAGAAGATGGAAGGTGGGGAGAAGGTCAGGGTCCCTGGTCAAGATGTATCATTGTGACCGTCCTCATTAGACTTGGAGAGGAAAAAAAACTTGTTTCAAACAAGCTTGAGAGGGACCCTCTGTGCAAAGTGGTGTTTATGACAAGCTAGCTATGCTTTCCTGGGGTAAGGGAGGAGAGAGGTGGACATCTCCTTGAGCGGCCGCGGTGTGCCCGTCCGGTGAATGCTGAGCTGAATGGAGCCTGGTGCTGTGTAATTAGCATGAAGTTCCTGGTTCTGCCTTGCTGGGCCGGGACTTAGTGGTGCCTGCCACCCGTGTTTCGAAACAAAACAAGGGTGATGGACCGCTGGCCAAAAAGATCACCGCCCCTGTACCTGTTCCCTCCTGTTTTGTGAAGAGTGGCAATGAATTTGGTGAACCCACCAAGTAGGGAGGAAATAATCTGGTCAAAATACGATTTTGAATTCAAAGTGAAGGTTTAAAAAGTAGTCAGGTGCTTCTGCCAGGAGAGCCGAAAAGAAAGTATAAATGGCAGACTAGCAGAAGGAGCCTCCCCAGGAAGAACTCCGGGGATACTGGGAGTCTCAAGACAGGCCAACAATTCCAGTGTGGTGGCTCACATCTGCAACCCCAGCACTGGGAGAACTGAGGCAGGAGGATAGCTACAAGCTCAAAGCTAGCTTAAAGCTACCAAGTGGGACCCTGTATCAAACAAGAGTCTGGGCTACATAGTGAGCTCAGTGAGAGCCTGCATACAGAGAGCCTATCTCTAAATACATAGTTTGAGGTCATCCTGGGCTCCTACATAAAGGATTTGAGGCCAGACTGGGCTGCAGAGTGAGACCAGTCTCCCCTCCCTCCCTCCCCAATTAAAATAAAGAAAGAAGAAAATGAAGGGTTTTGTTTTGTTTTGTTTGAGACAAGGTTTCTTTGTGTAGCCCAGGCTGGCCTCAAAATCAGAGATCCACCTACCTCTGCCTCCTGAGTGCTGGGATTAAAGGCATGTGCCATCACTACCTGCACTTTTTTTTCAATGATTTATTTATTTTTATTACATATGCTTTGGTGTTTTGCCCGAATGTATGTCTGTATGAGGGTGTCAGATCCCCAGGAACTGGAGTTATAGACAGCTGTGAGCTGCCATGTGGGTGCTGGGAATTGAACCTGGGTCCTCTGGAAAGAGCCGCCAGTGCTCTTAACTGCAGAGCTATCTTTCCAGCTCCTGAAACTCAAGTTCTTTTTTTTTTTTCCTCCATTTTTGGTTTTGCAAGACAGAGTTTCTCTGTGTAACTGCTGTGACTGTCCTGGCACTTGCTCTGTAGACCAGGCTGGCCTCAAACTCCTAGAGATCTACCTGCCTGTGCCTCCTGAGAGCTGGGAAGCTCACTGGCTAGCTGACCAGCTTAGCTTAACCATCTTGGCAACGTTGGACAAGAGACCCTGTCTCAAAGAGAAGGCAGAAGAGACCCTGTCTCAAACAGAAGGCAGAAGAGACCCTGTCTCAAACAGAAGGCAGAAGAGACCCTGTCTCAAACAGAAGGCAGAAGGCATTTGAGGCGAAGGACCCAAGGCTGTCCTTGCACTTCCCGTGCATGCGTCTGAGGGAGTCACTCAGCTTTACAAACACGGACAACAGAAATTCTGAAGCATCCTATAATGCAGTTTACCTCCTATCTGCTGGCATCTCCTCAAGAATGCATAAATGTGCTTTTATACTCCTTTGGTGTTTTGTTTGTTTCTCGCTGGTGAGCCAGGATAAGGCCTCTAGCCGACTTTAAATTCCTGGGGTCCCTCACCTCTTTGCAAACAGCTCATTATCTAAAAACAAACAAACAAACAAACAAAATCTAAATATTTGCTGGTGCCCAGAGCACAGAAAAACCCTCCAAATAATTCTTCCCAAAACAGAAGTCCTTAGTGAGCAAAAAACCCCACTCTGAAAATTGCTTTGAGAGTTCCTTTGGCTAGAGCTTCAGGTGAGGCACGTGACGGGTGTAATTGCTGCTTCTAATTCTCCTGCCCGATGTTTGGTGTGCTTCTGATTGCACTGCAGATGCGTCTCGGCCCCTCCTTGGGTGTGGGCAGCATCGGGAGGGCAGCACTGTTCACCCAACACCTCAGACAGGAATTCAAACGTGGGCGCCTAATGAACACTAATGAGTGAAAGGTGCTGGCGTCAGAACTGCCAGTTTAGCTCCGTTTCAAGTCCTTCATCCTGGCAGAACCAAGAATTGTCAGCGCCACTAGTAGCGCTTTCAAGACGGACCCACAGACGCTGAGCGAGGCCCCAGCAATAAGTGCACCGTGTTTTAAGCAGCTGCACCCTTCCAGGGTTATTCAATAGGGATTCCGGTTTTTGTTGCTGTTGTTGTTTTCTCTGCAGCTTTGGAGGCTGTCCTGGAACTCGCTCTCTTAGACCAGGTTGGTCTCGAACTCACAGAGATCCGCCTACCCCGGCCTCCCGAGTGCTGGGATCAAAGGTGTACACCACCAATGCCGGGCTGGCGTCCGGTTTTGTTGAGAGACTTACAGTTTTACTGTGTGAGACTTCCGGTTGCATGCATAGCCGATGGTGCATATGGGGGTGGTGTTCTGTGGAACTTCCAGCTGCGTTCTGTGGTGCTCCTACTCGGGTCCACGGCGCTTCCTACACCCTCAGTTCGGCGAACTTCCGGCTGCGTTCTACAGAACACCCTGCACTGTTGGAGGGAGCTTCTACCTTGGCTCTTGCCAAGTTATCTGACCTCTTTCTGGAAGCCAGGCAAGGCTCTCTCCCTGGGACCTCGGGAGACGCGGTTGACCCATGCATGGGTCACCATCTGCTTGGTCCTGCTCCCTTGTCGGGTTGGTAGGCCCTTGCACAACACGTGCCAGCAAAACTGACCTTCCCTCAACACACATCCATTTTTTATCTGCTCTGCAACCTGGCATGAGGGTGTTCTAAGCCTCCGGGTGGGCAAACCAGTCAGACAGGGTTTCTCTGTGTAGCCCTGCCTGTCCTGGAACTCACTCTGTAGACCAGGCTGGCCTCGCACTCTCAGAGATCCACCTGCCTCTGCCTCTGGAGTGCTGGGATTAACCGCGTGAGCCACCACCGCCCGGCTCTTCCCTTATTGGAAACGTATATATCATATATCTTGTCAGCATTCAGGCACCTGTACTGGCCTGCCCTTGGGGTTCTGACGGGATGCGCCCTTGGCCGCAGCCACTAAGAGCACCTCCTGTGCACATTCACTAAGTTCCCTTTTAAAAGGGCCCTGCCCACCTCCCCTCTCTCCCTCTGTCTCTTCCCCCTCCCTCTTCCCCCTCTCCACCTCCCTGCCTCTCTCCTCTGCTGCTCCCTTGCCCAGAGGCTGGTCTCCCCCCTCCCTCCTCCCTTTTCCCATTTACTTTCCCTAATAAAAATCCCTCCCCCCAAGCTCTGCCTTGGCCGCCTTTCCCTTCCGTGCCACTTTTTAAATTACCACATATCTGGTTCAATTTTCTGCTAGCTCGTGCAGATAACTGCTGATCAAAAGGAGCAAGTGTGCAGAGCAAGAGAGACTTAGAGCAAAACTCCCTAAAATGATGGCAACTTGTGGCTACCCTGTGTGTGGTGCGTGCAGTCTCTTTTGTGTAGCCAAGGATGGTCCCCTGTGTCCTGCCTCTGCCGCCTCCTGAGTGGGATGTCTCCAAACCTTCCTCTTCGTTAAAGAGTTCAACTGCTGTTTATTGACGAGGAGGGGCCAGCGGGGAAGGGCTCACTGATTTCCACTTGGAAGGCATTTCCCTCTAGCTTTCTGTTTGAAGGACCGCGTCCCTTCTATAATCTCCTCCCCTATCCTGTCGTTCTTTGCTTAGTGGAATATGAACGACCCTTGAAAACGATATAAATGTTTGCTCCCTGAAGAAACTGCCCTAGTGCTGGCTGCTCTTGGCACCCTCCTCCTGGGCAAAGTGGGTCCTGGCTCATTTGTAGCCTAGTGGGATACCTACCACCCATCCCTGCTCAATCTCATTCTCTTTGAGACCAAGACCTTAATGAGATTTTAAATTTTTGTTTGTTTTTGTTGTGCTGGGGACTGAATCCCAGGCATTAAGCCATATCTACAAACTCAGGAAAATTTTAAAACTGTATTTTTATTTTAACCAACACACAGTACTCATAAATATGTATGGATTGCCGTGTAACATTTCAATACATATATAATATGTTTGATGACCAGATCAAGGCGACTAGCTGATATCACCTTGGACATTTGTTACTTCTTTGATGGGAAAGCCCAAAAATCCTCTCCCCCTAGCTCCTTGCATATATTCAGTTAATCGTTGTCAATCACAGTTCCCGTGCTGCAGATCAGACATTCCTCCTAGCC